GGGGGGCGATGGTGAGGTGGATGTTGTTTTGTTTCCTTGTCTACAGACTTTGGTATCTTTAATCAAATGGGCCTATTACAGCTTATTAAAGTATCTGCCCGGTTACTGTAAAGAACGGGATGCTGAACTAGATGGACGTCAGCTGAGCTCTTTTTCTGTTTTAGAAGAGGGCCGAGCTTGAAGGTAGATTAGAAAAATAGCAGGCTTTCCCGCACAATGCCAGTTCCAGGTTTTGGGGGGCCCTGGACAACCAGTGTTTGAGGCCCCCTTCTGCTTACCACTAGCCTACCCTCAACCTTCCCTTCCACCTACCCATCTGTGAGCCCCCCACCTGTCTGTGCATCCTTTCTTTCACAAGTTCTCTCATTGCTTGTGCTCACAGCCATCCACACAACCAACATGTTCTTCCCCATCAATCGTGAGAAACAGGAAGCCTGCGTGGTGGAGTGCTCGCAAGAGAATAGGCAAGGAAGGGCATACAAACAGGTGGTAAGGCTGGTATAGAGCTGGGGGAGGTCAGTGACAGTGGGCCCTGCCAGAATCTCTGTGCCCTGGCAGCCACCTTACCTCAGGGTATGCTGATGCTGCCCCTGTTTCTAAACATGAATTATTTTTCTCATCTCCCTCCCCTTCCATGCTGATGGGCAGAGGAGTAGGCTAGGAGCTTCTGCATTCCAGTTCTAAGTGCCCTGGTTGGTGATGGCACTACCTTTCACCAGCTGTCCTGTAGGGTAGATGCTGGTGTGTTCTGGTAAATGTTTAACAACCAGTGCTTGCTGGGTGGGATGCCCTTTTCTGGACAACACCCCCTCCCCAGTTAGTTGTATGTACAACTTTGTGCGTCCACCCCAGAGTGGAGGAGAAAAGAAGAACTCATGCCTAGCACAAAGATGTAACCATCATTCCCATGCACCATTTAGAGGTTGGTTCCCCACCACTACCACCTTTAGCAAAGCTGCTTCCTATTAGTCTTACAAAACAAACAAGAGAAAAGAGCAATATTTACTAACATATGTGGGGAAGAGAGAAGAAAAGGAAGCCTTTCACTAGCACATTCTCCCTGAAAATTAGCTCAGAGACATGAGGCAGGTTTTTAAAGCAGCCCACTGCACAAGGTTTTGGGTTAAGGGTGACTAACTAACGTGTTCTCCCACTGTGGAACAAGAAATGACCATTTCCTTCCCACAACCAAGCTGCCCTTTCTCACAGCTTGGCTCCCTGAGGCGCCCTGGCCAATGTCTTGCATTTACTTCACACATTTATCCTATTCCACCTCTGAGAATATGAGAGTGTAAAGGAAAGAGAGAGGCATCCTAGAGCTCCTGGTGAGTTTTCAACCACCTTGCGAAACTCCTGAAAATTTAACCATCAGCTCTCATGAGCAGTAGGAGCCAGCTCCAGCACATCACTGGGTAGACAGCACTTGAAAGGGAGGTTCTCTAGAACTGGGTAGGTCCAGATGAAGGCACTGAGTTTGGATCTGAGAAGGCTTTTTTTTTTTTTAGAACACAATTTTATTTTTCATGAAAATTTTGACATGTCATCAGTTCCATTAATGTTTCAATTTCTACCCCCAACATCCCCACTTTACTCTCCCCCTCCCCGTGGCTTCCCGCAATGCTTCCCCCCTCGTCACTCCAGTACACCTTAAGATAACATCATATTCTAGTTTCAATATTGTTCTAAATATAATAGATTGTGCTTTACATCCCAGTTCTTTTCTAGGTAAATTTTAAAGTCTCTTCATTCCTCATAGAATTCCTGATCTTCTTTGTTATTCAATTTTTTCGTAATTTTGTCCATCTCAGCCATAAACAGTTTTTTGTATCCATTCTTCTAACTCTGGAATTCTTTCTTGTTTCCAACATTGTGCATAGAGTATTCTCGCCGTTGTAATCAGGTACCAAAATAAAGTTCTTTTTGTAATATTCAATTCTTCCATTTTAAGTCCTAAGAGCAGAATTTCTGGTGCTTTTTTAAAGGAACATTTCAAAAAATTTTGCATTTCGCTGTGAACTCTAGTCCAAAAGTCCACAGCTTTTTCACATGTCCACCACATATGATAAAATGAACCTTCATGTTTTCTACATTTCCAACATTTGTTAGAAAAGTTTTGGTTCATGTTGGCTATTTTCTTGGGTGTCATATACCACCTGTACATCATTTTATAACAATTCTCTTTCACATTGGTACATGACGAGATCTTGATCGAATTTTTCCACAGATATTCCCAAGAGTCCATAGAGATCTGGATCTGAGAAGGCTTAATCACATCAGGCCAGGTGGTTATTTCTTTACCTAATGATCCTCAGAATAACACGGGAAGAGGGGACAATAATGTGAAAGCATAGGATCCAAGTGAATTTTTAAAAAAATACAAGTTTCAGCTGTAGAAGTCAGGAGGGAATCTTTGCAAGCAGAGGTGCCATTGGGGCAGGAGATGGATGCCTTTGCCAACTCTCAAGACACAAATACTTTGCCAGAGTAGGCTTGGTAGAGCAGGTGAAGGAGGGAAGAATACAGGTGCTGTTTTATTGCAAAACATTTCTGCAGCAAGAATAGTTTTTTTTTTCTTTAGTGTGCAGTTGTTAAGGGCTTTCGTTGTTCTTTGCAAGTGGAGTCTGATCCAACACAAATGTCCTAAATTCAAAAACCTCTTCTGTATGGTCAGTCAGATCTTTTCTTTTCCCTGCTGTTTTTCTTCAGTGTAATGCTTCAACTGCTAATGTGGGTTAGCATCAACATATTCACGACCACGAATTATATTTTGTTTTTCTCTGAACTGGAATTGACTTATGTACACTGATTTATGTGTGTACATTTTTGGTTTATAGAGTGTTCAAAGATCTAATGGCTTGATGAAAGTAGTGGCTCACAGGGTGAGGTCTGAGATCCTGAAGTAAAGGTCTTGTTTGGTAACTTGGTCTTGAATCTTGGCACGACTGTGCCAGCGTTCTCTCATGGGGCACTGTTCGGGTTTTTCAAGATCCTGAGGAACCTGTAAGAGGCCCTGAAACTTTTTGGCTGCTGCAATCTTGTTTTATATTCACATGAAGTATTTACTGTTTGAAATAGCTGTGTTGGCTCTACAGAATAAAATACACACAGTGAATCCTTGATTGCCTCAACTAGCATTGAAATGCTACAAGTGAGCTTTTGACAGTGTGCAGTTTCAAGCATGTATGGTGGTGGAAAGTGCCATCAAGTCTTAGCTGACTGATGACAACCCTGTAGAGTTTTCAAGCCAAGAGAAGAATGGAGGTGGTTTCCCGTTGCTTGTGTCTGCATAACAACTGAGGACTTTCCTGGTGGTCTTCCTTCCAAATATGTGACATGAGGAAAAGGGTGCATCCAAGCCAACTCCTGCTTAGCTTCCGAGATCTGACGAGGCTGGGTTAGCCTGGGCTATCCAGGTCAGTCCAATCATGTACACTCAGGAGTAAATCCTATTGTATTCAGTTAGATGTACCGCTTTGTTAATGTGTTTAGGATTGCCGCCTGAGTTATGTTAAATTCTTTGGCATAGTTTTTTTTGGTGCTTGTCTTTGTGAAGTGAGCTCTGAAACAGAGCAGGGATATTTTAAACGAGAATTATGTTAGCTGAATTGTAAATGTTGTTTGCATAAGATGTACAAGCATACACGTATTCACACACCTTTTCTCTCCCTCATTCCAAGCCAAGGCAGCACCAAAACAAAAAACAACCCCATCCTTTGGGAGAAATTCAGCCAGAATATAAAACAGATTGAAAGACATTCTTCTGTCTCCTGTTTCATCAGCCCTTATGAGCTGCAAAATAGGAAATGTAAAAGAAGCTGGCAAAAGTATTCTAAGCATTAGTTCTGCCGCATTTGACAAGTATACGATGTCTCTTTGGAAGGAGTAGCCAGGTTGATAGTGGTTTTTGTTTTTCACATGGATTTTTCTGTGTGTCCCAACGCAAGTAAAAGAACGCAGAGGTACCCCTCGGGAATTTTTCTATTTGTCTTTTAAATTGTTATGTACTGGCCGAAGACCGTAATAATAAACTGACTGACTGACAGAGGTACCCCAAATTCTCTGATACATATGATGTGGAAGAATGTGTGAAAATTCACCAGTCCCAACTTCGTTGTCACAGTTTTCCTCATTTTGCATTTTGTTTTCTTAGTAGCAAGATAAGACCTCAGATTTCAAGTAGCTGTGAGAAATTGTTCTGTGTTACTAGCCATCAACTTTAATGATTATCTCTGTAGAATGTAGTGCATAGAGAACGAATTGGAATGGCTTCCTGTAGCCCTGCTGAGAACTTGATTTTTGTGTGTTCTCCTTGAGTTCTTGTCGAAAAGATGTCAAAATGCAGAAATGATGACTCTGGAGAGTACAGATTCTTTTGGAAACTGGAAAGAGATGCAAGTCTTCTGCCGCGTACCTCTGAGAAGCTGACACTTTCTTGATTTGCCGCAGGAAGCTCAAGCCTCCCAGCCTACGTATGCTTGGTGATTATTGTAAGTTCAGGTTTTATTTTGTCTTTTGGCTCCATGTGAAAGATTTAGCTGACTACTGAAATCTTCCAGCGACTCGGGCAGGTAACGTTTGTGTTAAGTAGACTTGACACTAAAGCTGCGTCGTCAGTGATAACACCCAGTAGGGGTGACAATTTTTTTTCTCACTTTGAAGGAAGGCAGGGGATAATCAAGTCTTCATGTGAAACTTTTTAGGCAGGATTAAAAGTCAGTGTCGAGCTAGCAATTGGATTTTAAATCCTCCGAGCATACAAAAAGAAATACG